ATCCCACCCCTCCAATTTTTCGATATTCCATGATACACTAATGGCCGGGTATATCTGACATTAAGATTCATGCCAGAACATGAGTGACAATTTAAGGTTATTTTAGTAAAATTTGTCTTGTTTGAAGACATTTCCGGCTACCATCAGACACTGCAATTAAATCCTGCCAATTTGTCGATATTCCATGATACACTAATGGCCGGGTATATCTGACATTAAGATTCATGCCAGAACATGAGTGACAATTTAAGGTTATTTTAGTAAAATTTGTCTTGTTTGCAGACATTTCCGGCTACCATCAGACACTGCAATTAAACGCTTAGTACTGAAGGCACAATGCTGCATTGGTCTTTTTTCATCTCAACAAAAAACCGAAAGTGCAGCATAAGCAGTTAATGAAGCTAAGCTGGAATTTCATAAAATTTGAAAAAGCCCTTAGGCAAATTCCAAAATAATTCATAAGAAATCACGAAAGATGGTTAATACGATGAACATTGTCTATCTAATAAAGCTTGCGGTGAGACGGGTTAGTTGTTATAGTGCATTCTGTAGGAAAGCCCGGGTTCACTTACACATGGCCCACCTCATGTGCGGCTACGAATGACGATAAAAGGCCTTCATCTCGGGTAAGGGCACAACTTCTGAGATCATTACACATACCCCTCACTGGGCCATATCCTGAAAACAACATCATCCCATGTAAAGTATGTTTAAAAACGAAGTACCAACTCGACAAATATACGAAATGACACATCGCAGTATGACGCGATTTTAACAACCTTCACATTGACTCTTGCATTGCTTTCACCACGAGACACATTGTCAGGTTCTTACCTGCTGGTCCGAAGCTGTCGCGTGTGAAGAAGAGAGCAAGATCATGATGGTCTTTATTGCTATCATCTGGGGTATTTTGTTTGTAAGCCCAAGTACACACTTTCCTCAAACTGGCGGCTGGAGAACCGCTGATCATTCCACTTGCCTATATGAATTATAAAACAACAGTTTGTCAGAAATAAATTTCGATTTCACTATAGGAAAATTATTATACGAAGGTTAGATTTAATGCGGTGCGCGATATCTTCGCGGTGACGAAAAAATTAGGATTTTTTTTTTTGCACACGGACCTAAAAAAATCAAGCCAAGCTTCCACTAACTGGAAAATTAGTGGACTATTATATGGGCATACCTGGGACTTGTTGAGCATTACTATCCTGATGACAGCAACTGTGGTGTCGGTTTGGAGGGTGCTGTGATGGTACGCTTCATTGACCTAAATAGCAAAAAAAAATCATATGGGCATACCTGGGATTTGCTGAGCATTACTATCCTGATGACAGCAACTGTGATGTCGGTTTGAAGGGTGCTGTGATGGTACGCTTCATTGACCTAAATAACAAAAGAAAAATCATAAAAATTGTTGCCTATGTTTTATTTTTTATTTTTTATATAACACAGATAATGGCATAATCCCTCATTAAAGTTCACTTGATGTCTATGATCGTTACCTGTTTCTTTTTTATATATAGGCCTACATACATTTTGTACACGAGCAACAGTCATTCTTGACATCGACCCGACATTCAGTGATAGATATGTAACTATAAATGTAGGCTTATGTTCAGTAGGCATATATGTGGGTCTCCCGCATTCGGTATGTGTGAATTTGAAAATAAGAAACATAATTTCTTATTTCTTATTTCCTTCACATCCAACATCGAGTACACTTACAGAATTGGACGATGCTCTATATACTAAGACTCTTGTTGAGGCCTAGCGAGTGGAGTTGCATTTTGTCGTGAGAAAAGGTCCTGCTGTGACAGGAATTGAACCCAGGAGCCTGGTATTAGAACCCAAGCATCTTAACCACTTCACTTCTAAAAATGTGTCTGAAAAAATCATCCTTATTTTAATTGAATCGTGATTCATTCTGAAGTAATGTGAACTAAGTAGGGCCTAAGAATTAGGACTACACTACTTACGATGTTCATCATGGTGAGAATATACGTAGGGATGTTATCTTCTCCATGGAAATCAACCATTGTATTGTCGACGGCAACCATTGTCTCGATGTAGTATTTTCCTCCGGCTCCGCGCTTAACTCTGTCACTATCGACTTCATTCACTTGATTAACTATAGCCTCAGTATCTACATTAGTTAAATTGGATTTTTGAACAAAAAGAAAGGACGATCAATAAGGACAAGTGTTTTATTTTTAGTGTTGGTGCCAGGATTTGCAAGACGGGAGGTCCGATATCCCCGATGAGGTGGGGAGGGTGGGGGTGGGGAGGGTGATGTCCCCGACGAGAGCAGAGTGGGCGTCGCTCAATATCTTTCGAAAGTGGTCCAGGGAGCGAAGCCCCGAAATATATTATCATGACAATTTACAGATTCCAAAGCTTGTTTGAGTCATATTTTAGATACATATGATTTTTTTTTCTCCCTGACGAATTGTGGTTTTTCTCAACTCCTACCCCGGCCACCTGCTGGCGCCATCCCTGTTTTTTTTTTTTTTTTTTTTTCAAATCAGTGTTAGAATCCATCACATCTCATAGTGTTATCAATTCAACGTAAGGTCCCTGAAGAATGGTCTCGGGTTTAGTTGACAGCTTTATGTGGTTTTCCTTCCTTATAAGTTGAATTTGAAGTAGGCCTATTAATTTTTACCGAGATTAATTTCTTTCACTGAGTATTGCATTTTTACTTTTTGGATGTTAGTGCTCAATCCGCTGACCGATTGGTTGATTGAAATTCAGCATTCGGTTACATTTCTCTAAATCATTCAGATTAACTCACCGAAATCTCCCCATTTAGAATCATCTCGTTTAGTCAGGCTACGTCTATCGTACATGATATGCGTCTTTCCTTGGTCGGGGTTGGCGGATCCATCTTCTATTGGTTCAATAAGAAGTTCCTTGCCATCTTTGTTCAATACACCACTCTGACCAAAAGAAGAATAAACAACGGTCAACATTCAGTCAGGCCTAATATAGAAGAAGGTGAGGGTTGGGGTGGGGGGACTTGGAAAGTCAATCCCTCCACTTTATTAACCACTGAAACTCCCTCTCTCATAATATGAACATTGGCGCACACTTCGTATCTGCTTATGATCTGTTGGCTGAAAAAAAAAAAAAAAAAAAAAACATTTTCTACACGCTCCTAGCGCTTGCCACACGCAATGCCAGTCTACTGCCGCCGAACACTCTGAGCAGATAATTAATATTTTAGGCCAGAAATGCTTTGCGTACGAATATAAACCTATGTACGATTATCAGAAATATCGGATAATAGTTTAAAAGCTCATGCATCCATGATCAAATTATTATTGAAAGGACGACAGATAGTAAACTACAATACCGATTTTTTTTTCCTTTTTCGATTATGAGAGATGGAATTCTTAAACTCATTTATTGAATAATATAGATCTTTTGATTTTCAAACATCGATGGTACAACGTATGAGTCACGGGTATTGTTTTCCGTTTCATTCCCAAGTGTCGATCATCTGAGTCAGTACGATTCAGACCTGTTTATCTACAGAGAGGCATGCAGTACAAGGAAACGACGTGGTTTATCGTGTTGGTTCAGACCCATTCTCTCTCAACGAGGCTTTTACTTTGGATTGTCCAATCATCGTTACCAACATAAAATCTAGGTCACCAAAAAGGTCCCATATTAAACATGAGAATAAAAATTCTCACACGATGATACCCAAATAATGTGTATTAATGTCATCTACATTTAAAGGGAAAAAAACATAATTTCATTATACTGTATTCCGTTTTGAGGTTCTCCAATTTTACATGATAGGGCATTGACGTCACCATTTCTGTCGTCAAGGTATAAATAGCAACAGAATGTTACACTTAGCGATGTCGAAGAAGATTACCGGCACACATTGAATGACGGTATTTCGTGCTACCATACACTACCGTATTTTAGGTAGGCCCAGGGCCGACGGAACGTTTTTCAAAGTAGGGAGGGGGCACACTAGCAAGATGAATGGGAATATGAATTGCGAGGAAGCCGATCATACAAAAATCTGCGTTGACATTATATGATTTTCTGCCAAAAAGTGGGAGAGGCAGGCCCCCAGCCCCCGGTTCCGCCGGTCATGAGGCCTATATTTGATTGCAATCGCTTGAAGTATGCACCTTGATAATGAGTGGAGTACGGTAATATGTAAAGGGGAAGCACCAGGAGTTAGATATCCCATTAGTAGGAGGGGTAGACATTAGGAATGACAGGAAGGTAGCAGGATACCATATTATAAAGTATTTTAATTTGCGCGGGATACATCAAATGACAGTCCGGTGGATAGTCAGTGGACCAGTGGTGTCCAACCGAACATTGGCTTGTGTCCAGTACTGCATGCGGCAAGGGTGGGTGGAGGAACGGGAGCAATTAGAGCAATACGGTAGTGCAACAACCATTTGCAAGCAGGTACATTCACGAAAGCGGTTGGCGCGCAACGGCTGTGACTCAGACTCTCAACCTTGGGGGAGGGGAGTCTGAGCAATTCGCTTGTGTTCTTTAGACATTTTATCTACGTTGACTCTCCCTGCCCCAGAGTATGAAGTGGGTAACGGAATACGCAGGGAAGGTAAAACATACTTGTTGCGCGGGAAGGAGAGTGGCGATCCCCCTAGTCTTGTACACTCTGATGCAAACACTAAAGAAAGAGAGATGGTCACTACGGACCGTAGGCCCACCGAGCTTCAGGTTTAGACTTTCTGACATCTGATCGTCATCCTAAATTGGTCATAGCGTTGACTCATTCAAGTTTTTCAATTACTTGTCAGTATCTTTAAATTCCTTTATATGAAACATCTTAATATTATAGAAAGTTACCGGTACATGTCTGGATTTGTCTACCAAGGCGAAGGTGATGAAATATCGTATGGAATAAAATTATTGAAGTGTTACTCCGAAGAGGGCTCAAGCCGCCTCCAGTAGCCTACGGTTTGAATAAACGGATGTTTAAATATATAGATTACTGTTTGTAGCGAAACTTTAACAATAATTGTAACATTAAATTGCTAATGGAAAACAAAAATAAATGAGTTAATATCAATTTCAAATTAGACGCAAATCAAAATATTGTATTTTGTTTTTGATGATTTACGTAAATTGTTTTGATTGACTACCAAAAATAAATATAATTTCAAGGCGAGTACTGAATCACAGTTTTAACCCAATCACAGAGAGGAGGATCCTAAATTTCACACTTTAACCGCAACTTGATGATTAATATAGGAGCTTATTTAAATAAAAATGTGATTCGTATGAACTAAACATGACGTCGATGATGTGGGTATTGGGTCAATCTTTCTAACCTTAACCAAAGTTCATTCTTGAAGAGGAACAATGCAAGGTGTCTTAAAGTGGTCATGTATCAAAATATAGCGAACACAGACCGATTCATATCCTATACAAAGTGGTATTCTGTTCCTAAAAAGAGGCGTTAAAATGTTTACATAATTGCGGAAGTGCGGTTTGCCTCAGCGTTTAGCAGTAGTAAATTATTGCCAATTCAAAAAATCGATTCGTGATCATTCATAATTTATTTTCTAAGATCCGTTGTACATTTCGTATATAGGCCAAGTTTCACTTTGTTTTTGCTTTTGTATTATCGCACCGCACAACCAAATCTGAGTCCGCTTTTACAATAACGTGTACCCTTGAGATGTCTTCCACACCTTATGTACATCACCAGATAGTTGGCGAGAACAGTAGCAATTCCCATGATCAAATCACCCTTCACAGTTCCTTCCTTTTAATGTGTAATTTCCTATTCAATCGAGAAACGGCTTAGAACGCAATTGAAAAATGTCCAATACTTTTGACGTGCGAGTCTAGGGGGAGCTGGCTTGACTAACTCTGTATTACCATTTTAAATAGTCCCACTTGAGTCACCTCTCGATTAGTCAGGTGGTCACGTGTCACATGTCAATTTTGAGACATGAAGGTCAGGGATTTTCTATCCAACCTTTGCATACAGTACCGTACATAAGCAAATAACAAGACGTCCGCGATTCAAATCTTATGTTGTCATTATTGCTTATAAAAATATTATTATTGTCTGATTTAAAAACAACATGTTGCTTAGCATTGTTTTCATTTACAGTATAATAATAATAATAATTTATTTGGAATGACACTTTTGTAACAGTGGCACACAACCACGTGGGCGGTGCATCAAATATGAAACATATAATCCTACATAGGATATGAATTAAAAAAAATATAAAAATAATAATAATAAACAATAAATGAATTCCTGCGAGACACCATGTAGACGATTGCAGTATGATTTTATCTTTTCCTATTTTAAGCTTTAGATACGGTATACTAGATCCGTGTTATTATCCGTACTTTTCCGTGTACTGCGCCACCGATGTAAAGATGAAATTTCATTAAATGATTATTATTGCTAATCACATTATCATTATGATGTCCATAATGTCATTTGCCTAATTTAGTCTATGATGCAATTCATTGATTAATAATTACAAAGGGCCAAAATAGTATCAATATTTAGCTTTATTTATTACCGAGGAGACAATATTGGGCTAGAGTATGGCTTGCCTTGTTACCAATGGATAACGACAGGCCTATTTAAATAGCATATTGCAGTATGACATTCTTTGTACATGCTTGTTAAGAAGTGAAAAGAAAAAAAAACAAATATAATTATGGAAAAACAGGTACTGTAAGACCTGGAAAATGCAATAGTAGGCCTTGTTGTGGCCTATCACATAATAGAAGGCATACAATAAAGACCTACTGCATAATTGTGATAGTTGGCCTTAGTGTAAATTTTCACTTACTTTAGGCTTTTTAATCCAAGTGATTTCCTTATATCGCTTTTGCTAGAGAAATTAATTTACTAGGACTACACTTTTTTTTTTTTATAAGAACACATTTTATAAGAACACTGACGCTTAAATTCCTTAAAAATTAGGAACAAAATAAGAAAAATTTGAGGCTAAGGTAAAATGTCAAATGAGATTTTTATATTTAAAAACTAGAAAAATTTAAAAAAAAAATGAGATATGTACCTTATGTGCAATAGGTGTGACTATGTAATACCATCTATAACACAGTACCTGTCATTTGGGGCCATTTTTTCCAGAGGCCATTTTCTGGGTACCAATTTTACCTACATTCTAGTACAGTGTATACTGCTGTACAATAACAATTTTCTATGTTTGAAAATTGTGTAACATAAGAACAAAATAAGAACATTTTCAGCCTGAAATTGGCCAAAAAATAAGAACACTGAGCCTCGGCAAAATTTTACTGGTTCTTATATATAAAATTGTACGTGATTGATGAAATGAATGCTCGAAAGAATGAATGACTATAAAACGCATACAGTATAACTATTTAACTGTATAGTACAAAATGATTTAAAAAAAAATATATGTTATGTCGGTCATAATAAAATTGTAAAACTTTCAATAAATAAACGTGTTTTAATCACATTTTACAAATTAAACAATGACTTAATAAGTATTAGTGTTGCTATTTTATTAATTATTATATAATTAATTAATTAATTATTAATAATCAATATAATAATATTAACAAATCTGATGATGGTGATGATGATGATGAAGTTGTTGATGATGTAATAATGATTATGCTGATGATGATGGTGATAATGATAGTGATGATGATGATGATAAAGAAGATTATCATGCTGATGATGATGATGAAGAAGACGACTACGACTGTACTCTAATCGTTATATAGGCCTACTTCGGTCATTGAATCAAACACCCATAGGCTATGGAAAAATATTTCATGGTATCAAATGATCATTGCATTGGCATTCGAAATACCAGGTAGGGGGCTACGCATCTACAATATACTCCAGGTGGAGCAAAACGTGTTCAACCTCTGATTCGAACCACTGGCCTTTCGATTTGGAAGCCCTAGCTAAATGCCTTTCACATGCTTTTCATCTTATAAATACGCATTATCTTATTTTCGATGGAAAATATCCATACATTATTGGTTTTAGTCGGCGCTAATTAGCCATCTTGTAATTGCTCAATTTGTACACGGGTAAGTGGACATAAATTATATTTCAAAAGCTGTTACATTTCTAGTTCAATCAAATGCAAGTATAAATATCACTTGGTGGTTAACATGTTATGCAATCTGTTGTTGACTTTAAATTAAGTGTAAAATCGTTGTAGAAATATCGGTAAATATCCACGCTAATTTTGGTAATCAACATATATTAGGCTAGTACGATTTTGGTTTCTCACGTCCCGTTACACTTTTATAATAGGTTCTCATGATATTTGCTTCTTATTATTTTGACAGGCAACAAAAAATGTCACAGAGCTAGTCAATACGTTGCCATACTATAGTTCATAAACTTTTAAAGTATACCAATTGTCAATAGTTTAGCATCCATTTTTTGATTGAGCTTGTAAATTAAATTTTATCAAACTTTTTTGAAAGGGATGATAATTGACTTCATTAAACCAATAAAGCATGATCCGCTTTCGTATTGTTTATCGTCACATACCTTACTTGTTGTTTGTGGCTCTGACGCCACCCGAATATTTACCTCACCGCTACTCACATAACACTATGCCTTCTAAAATTCGATATTTTCATCAACAGTAGGCTTCCCTGACCATATAACTCTGGAGGTATTGAGTTTCGCATGCCAACCGAGCGCCTAATTTTCCTTGCGAGCACATGCCGAGTTGGAACAAGTCAACGCTCTATTATCCAATTATTAAAGAGGCAGAGACAGTGGATTTCTCAGTCACGTTCTACGTGAAATCCTATCAGTGTCTTAGCAAGATCACTATGGGAGATGTGCGACTGTGGTGTGCACATTTTTGCTCAACGACTTGTGCGATTGATCTTTCAGTAAGAGGTATCATTCTCAGGAAATTGAAAAAAACAGATCCGAAATTTTGATTAAAAGAAATTCAGAATGGTAATTTTAGAAAACACAAATATCGACCTTTTTTTCCAAGAACAAAGATTATAAAAGAAAAAAAAAACATGTAATTAATAGTTTGAAATTTTAATTCTTTAAAACCCATTTCAACTGTTAGGATCATTAAATGAATTATTAACTTCACGGATTCTGATTTCTCATTCAGAAGTTTGACAGCTTCCTTGATATTAATATTATAGTATGATGGTTACATACCGTAATTGGCGTTACCATGCAATGGTGCGATAAATTAAAGTAAAGCGATGTTAAAAGTTACGTTGCTTATCCAGGCACAAGCAGCACCATAGGATGATGACTAAATTTCATATTTCAACCAATCGCATTCTCAATAAGCCTATTTAGTTTTCAAAATGTTGTAGTGTATTTCGATTCTCGGCAATATCGAATGCTAAATCATACTATATTTACGGGTAACTTCCATTATCCAGAGTTGATTTTGTATAAATTATATATAATACATGTTTTGTAGCCTTTTAATAACTTTTTACAAGGAATCTTCACCTACATAACATAGACCTATGGGTCTTCAAAGGGACATAATTGCTTCTTAAGTGCAACAAATAATTATGGAACCATAGGCCAATTAACCTGCAACTGGTGTAATTGGAACAAAAAATGAATGTTTCGATGATATACAGACTTTTTGATATAAATCAAATAAAGACTAAAAGCCAATTTTAGGAAATCTGGCAAAGAATTTAGGAACCGGTGTAATTTACGCGTCTGTTCGAGTACAGTGGCGAGGAAAATATTTTCTTGTACTAAATTTTAATTAAAGCGAATAATTTTCTTAAACATTTTATAAAAATCAACAGAGTTTTTAAGGATTACAAGATGACCGTTATATCGATTCAGGGGTATTTGTTACAACCTTGCTACATGGCGTCACAGCTACGTAGCTCCCACACAGCCTCGTATGATTGCCGAACTGGGAAGAATTGGCCTTATTTCAGGAGTGACGTCATACCATGGTCATACAACAACGGCTTAATGTAAACTTAATTTGGCATCCGAACTCTTACCTGCCAACTATCTTCTCCCCGGGAGAAATCATTTTTTCTACGTCCCATTTGTCTGCTTGGATTTTGAAACCGTGGGAGGCATTTCTTTTACGCATCAGTTGAAGAAATTGGGTTAACGCTTTGTAAAAAATATTTTAGTATTTCCTAAATTTGTCACTGTTGGTTATTATATTGTCTAGTTTTAAGCATTTACCTAAAAAGGAATATTAACGTTTATAATATTTCGAGAACATGATAGAGTGTAGAGTTAAATCAAGTTTTGTATTATGTTTTACCTACCACTTTATCTCCACACATGACAAAAGCAGCACTGTCTTTGGCCTCGTAGCTTCTGCAACTATCGTCAATTTGCTTATCTTCAACAGAACCATCATCCTTTATTTTTTGAATCTTTATATCCTTGTTAATCAACGGTGTTTCTTGCACTTCCACTGTCGTTGGTTCTCCATCAACTTCAAATGTTACATATTCACTTGGGTTTTCCTCATCTGCTTCTTCTTCGAATGGAAGCTCTGTGGCGGCTCGTTTTATTCTTTTGTATTCTGCTCGTTCTTTCGAATATGTCGAGAAGTCAAAGCTAATGAACTCTCCCTCTTTTGTGGATCGGTATGGTCGTACTAGGTTGTAGTCTTCAAGGCGATTTACTAAGTCAGCTGCAAAGAACAACATGTCAGCAAGAATTTAAATTCAGTTTATTTTACGGTAAATGGAAAGCGTTATTCATCACCGAGTTTCGTCAAGTTGAAATGTTCTGAATTTTTGTCTGTTCTTTTGTTTATTATTTTATACTAAATTGTTTAAATTTTATTTTGGCATCCCTATAAAATATCAATTCAGTCTTTCACAAGGTTTCTTTAATCTTGTTTGCATATAAAGATGATGAGAAAAACATATTGGCCCATGCGATTCAGTATTGTAGCTCAAAAACCTTATAAATTATTTTATGTATTGTATGATACTTTATGGACTTGCACTAACATTATGACTAGTAAAACGAATTTATTCTACCTTCTTTTAACCCCTTTATTTTTCCATTGTGTTTTTTTTTTTAATACTGTGTTGGTTTTGTCCGTAAATGTTACAGTGGCAATTTAATACTACTAATGTTTTCACATTAGTATTTGTTATAATACTTAAAACATTAACATGGTACACTTTCAAAACAGTTGTTGTAAACGTGGCGGTTAGGTTACCAATGTCAGAAAGTAACGTTATTAGTCGTAAAATACACCAAAAGCAACGTTATCATAACGTAAAATTGTTAGCTGGGAATATTTTGCCAGATATGTAGAAAACAAGAACTTAGTAAGGTAATAACCAGAACTAATAAAAATATTTAATAATTTTCTTAATCATTAAATACAACTGAATCCCAAATTGTTCTAAAATTTCGAATAGTGATTTCCCAGCAAACACAAAACGTTATTATACCGGTAAGTTAACATTCAAGGGCACAGGTCTGTTTTGAATGATGGGGGGGGGGGAGTCGTTGTTCCACACCTCAGCTCACCATGGTTGGAGCTGAGGTATGAAAATTTAAGAAAATAGTACCTAGATGGCCGGAAATGATAGGCCTAGTAAAACTCATCATCAAATACTGGTTGTGCAGTGCTTTTTCGTTAAAACCTGGGTCATGAATTTATGCAATTAATTTTGACAACTTTCAGGCATTTCTTGATTTACTTTGCGATCGAATGTTGTGTGGACCAACTCCTCTTGAAATATGTGAGGGGGACGCGTCCCCCGTCCCCATGATCTGCGCTCATGTTAACATTCATGAACGTTGTGTTTAGGTGTTCCAAGGAATTCCATTTATTTTATGATTATGTTTTGTCAGATAAAAACGCTACCACAAACAAGCAGCAAAGTTTGGAACGTTAATTAGTTCAAAAATATGTTATAAATACGTACTTATGATTCTAAAGAAAAGAAAAACGTTTATATGTTATAATAACGTAAAATTGTTAGCTAATAATTTAAAATTGTTAGCTAATATTTTTACGATAGCCAAACCAATGCGGCGTCTGATTTACTATGGTTAACTGAAACAAATGTCACGTTCATTAAAATGTCATTGACGCTTTCTGTTGATTATTTGATTGTTGTCGGGGTGATTTTTATTTATTTTTAGTTTTTTTTAGTTATTATTATAATCATTATTACTATTATTAGAACCATTCAGATAAAAATGGTTTGACCATGTGTCAAGTTACAAGCCTCCATTATGGATTTACACAAACTGGATTTTTTAGGTAGCGTGAGCATGGCATGATAAAGGGAAAGAAACCGTGTCTTCATAATTTTAAGATAGTTAATCACCGTCAAAATTAACGATACCAAGTACCATGATTAAAGAACAAATTAGTGTGCCAGAATATAATGCAATTTATAAATACAAGAACGATTTGAATTTACCATGTCTTTTGTGTAGATTTCTAGGCATTTGTTCCTCTCCGTTAACCTGTGAACAAAAATATTAAAGTAAACTTTAGAAACCTGTAAAACTATTTCACGCGTTTAATTACCTATACTCTAATGACCTTATTTTACGTTCAGGGTTTTTTATGAGGTATTGTACTGAAGTTTCCCCAAAAGACAGTGTCATACTATCATTTACTTTCACAGAAAATCACCCGTGATGTGCAACCACAAGATTAGTTGGACTGATATCAATCCGCCATACAGTACATCATCATACAGTGAGCCATGTCAGGCTGTCAATGTCCAAACTTCTTATTCAATTTTCAAAATTGTCAAAATTGTAAAATATATGTTTAATAATGTATTACATATTATTTACAATGAATCTATTATTTTATAGTGCAATGGCGAAGGTATAAAAACAGTTTCATTTTATACGTTTTGTGTACAATATAATTGAAAAATGCAGTACAGTACTGCTTCTGACCACAACTGACAGGTCGAATTTTAAAGGTTTCATCTTATCACATGGCCTCGTAGTGAATTTTAAGAAATCACGCCTCCCTCAACACTTACAACAGGAAGTTGAACTGACTTCAATTAGTTTACAAGTCTTTTGTATTCTACCGATGGGGATGCTTGTAGTAGAACTGTATAGGAATGTCAATACTTAACTGGCGTCTCTTCATTCACTGTAAACCTACTCAGTAAATATGAATGGATATAAAATAAACTAAGCGAATGAAAAATCTTACCTGAACTGTGATTGCTACACACACGAACAGTAATCCAAGCGCGATACGGTTCGCCATTGCGATGGTGTCTCCTTTCGGTCGCGGGTCGCCTTGTGTCGTCACTTTACCAACTCAATCACTAGCGCCAATCAGGTTGTACTGTATAGTTCCAAGTAAACTAAAAAAAAGAAATAGGATAGCGAAGTGCAACTAGGAAGAATGCTGGCCAAAAGATTGTTCTTAAGAGTTAAATGTACATAAAACGAATAACAACACAAAGCACTCCGCGGAAGTGGAATACCCGAAAGGTCTGGCAATACACAAGCAACCGATGCAGTCTTATAAGCGAATTCGCCCACTGACTACCATATCAAATGACGTTAACTATGACGTCTATAAACTCCGCCCATTTTGAAATACGAGCGCTGGCATTGGCGGAGCAAAAGTGCTTACACTATACTCAGTAGTTCTGGACACTTATACGATGCCATTTCCCTTGATCTATCACCTTTGAGGGGAACTTCATCGAGATAAATAGGTAGATGACTTACAGTATACAGTCTCTAGTTCTTTTCGCAAACGACAGTAGATTTATAACATTTTCTTCATTTTCTGTATTATATGCAGTTCTCCCTACATAGGCCCACGCTCTATCCTGGACCATAATTAATTACCTCCCTGCCAATAATCTCCGTCCAAAACGTTATGTCATCAGTACACCGATGATTCGGCCATCCATAGTTCCTTGTTCTTAAAGTTCTATTTAGTATTATTTATATATATCTTTTCTTTTCTTTTGATAAATGTGGTTACTTGCCATGTATACTTTTTAATTAGCATATTTCTTTTTAAAAATGGTTAATATTTCCCAGAATATGGTACGGTACATCCAACCATGAACAATTTAATATTAAATACTACATGATTCATGTGTCATAATTTCTGTTTTTAGAAAGAAAAAAATAAATCGACGAAAGGCGGCGGCAAACTAGGTGTTAACTGTAATTGATAACCTCCGCCACTTTCAATACAGAAACACGTATGGATTGAAGTTTTCTATTCCCTTGGTCTGCTCTGGACATAGAAGGCCCACTTTCTAGCGAAAGCGATTTTTTTTTCATTACGCATACCCTATAAATGACGCTATTCTTTTTTTTTATAATGTGAATTTTTAAAGTCGCATCTTTACCGATAATGTTGATGACATGAATATTTATCTACCAATTGATCATTCTTATTTCTGAATCTGATTATCTATATTCTATAAACTGATGTCCTAGTTTGTTTTAATATCCTTCGAATGAACAAGAACATCTCAAAGGGGCCTATCGCTAGGTGAGGTAATAACAATGACATAGAATGCTCCATATGCTTTATGTCTGAAAGCGTCAAAATCAAATGCGACGTGCATTCATGACGCGATTTCTAGAACCGACCTGAGGCAATTACGGGCGAAAATAGCCAGCAAGATGATTACTTTACTTAGAGTAGGTAATTATACTTGTCTTTTAATGGACACCCTATGTTAAAATGCTCCTGTATGCTTTCTTGTCTTTAACCATTATGTTGTATTTTTTTCTGAGTTCTAAGATTTTGTTTTGAGAAGAAGCAATAATTCCATTGCATTTAGAATGCACCAGTTCATATTTATGCTGATCAATGATTTTGAAAGGATTTGAACAACGGAACGCCGATTATACGTTGGTGCGCTTGTCTGCCAAATACCACTGTGAGTCACCTTTAACGACCGTATAGGCTTAATCGTCGGTTACGGATACAGAAATAGGGCTTTACTTCACCAGTTGGTAGACACGGTATGATGTCATCGGGCGGATTATTTTAGAACAACAATAAGACAGTCAAATATTATCTTATCGTTCTCCTGTGGGTATTATTTTGCATTCCAAAATAGAGTGTCAATATGGCAACATAATTACAGAGGAAACGATTACATGACTAGCTAAAGCATGGGATTTTCTTCTCAACACGGAGAGTGATGTAAGGTCTGCTGGCGTCGCAAGGCCTACATCTTAAGTTAGTCCATTATATTTATTATTTAAACATTATTCTTATAAGTATCAAGTTAGTTTTCTACCAGAAAAAAAAGGCTGGTTTTAATTGAATTGCACACCAGATGGGCAATTTTCTTATTCACTTCCTATGTTAAATGTAGTCATAGATAGAGGGGAGCCACCTTGACAGAACGCACCTTATGGGGTCCAATCCACCTACCCCCGCAAAAGCTGGGGTTTTTATTAGACATTTTATAGATGCACTTCTGAATGAACTCGTAAGAATACAAATTTTGAATATGATTGTCTTTCTCCCAAATTATTATGCGGGACGGTTTGGTCCCGTTGAATTCTCCCCCAATTACAGTCAGAGAGGGAGGCTTTTATTTTTCCTTTTTTTTATTATTATTATTTTTCTAAAGCCAAATACCACACATGGGTTGTTTGCTGGGTCAATTTCACAGTAGAATACAGGATTGAGGTAATACAAACAATATCTACTAACTACTATCTAAAACAAATGAAAAGAAATTTTTTAAAAATTGTGAAAAAAAAATAAAAATCAAAAATAATAATTGTTTTTTAAATTGTGTTTTTTTTTTTTTTGCAATACTGTAAATTGTGGGGGTTTTTTTTAATACTGTTGAAGATATGCGCGCGAGGGCGATAAACTTTTTTTTTCTTCTTTATTGGTCCTAATAAATATTATTCTAGATAAAATTTGGGGCGAAATATTTGTTTTTTTGGTCAGGTGGGCGTCTGACCTGCCGCACCGCTCCCACTGCTCCTGTAAAATAGAAACTGTGATATCGATTTCCATTTTAATATGACCGGGTGCAAAATAATACCACATATATGTATCTAGAACTAGGGCCTATAGATTTTTCTAGTTCTAGAAAACTCAGATATCTGAGTTTTCTGTATCTAAAAAAAACAACAACAACAAAAAAAAAAAAAAAATCTCTAAATTATAAGACCGGGGAATTTAACTAACACTTAGAGTTAAGTAAAAAGGGGTTTAGTTGATGTAAGAGGGTTGTACTTTTATTATTTAATCTGCGTTATCATCATTAATGCTATCAATATTTAATGTTATCAATATTGCTATTTTTATGTATATTATTATAATGATTTTGGCATTTAAGTATGGTTCAATTGTGCAAAGTATTAGGT